ATCCGGCGGCGGCGGCGGCGTTAGCTAACTTCTTAAAAGCTTTATATTTTAGAAGCTAGAAGACATGGATGCTTCATACTTTGTATATAGATGCCTTATGTTACGAAGTTTCCGTCTGTCATATGTCCATTGTCCTTGACCTCATTTTCATGGTTCAGTGACTACTTGAAAAAAGTCAACATTTTTTGTAATGTTAATTTCTTTCTTATTATGGGTAATAGGATAACTATATTTAGTATGTGCGTACCTTGCAAGGTCCTCCTGCCCGTCAGACAATTTTCATTTGACCTCGACCTCATTTCATGGATCAGTTTTCGTGGTCAAGTCCATATATCAGATACTATAAGCAGTAAGTCTACTATATTTGGTATATGGAATGATTGTAAGGTGTACTTGTCCAACTGGTAGGTGTCATCTGACCTTGACCTCATTTTCATGGTTCAGTGGTCAAAGTTAAGTTTTTGAGTTTTGGTCTTTTTTTCTAATACTATATGCAATAGGTCAACTATAAATGGTGTATGGAAATATTTTATGATGTTCATGTCAGTCTCACAGGTTTTATTTGACCTTGACCTCATTTTCACGGTTCATTTCTCAGTGTTAAGGTTTTGTGTTTTGGTCTGTTTTTCATCAACTATAAGCAATAGATCAACTATATTTGATGTATGGAAGGATTGTAAGGTGTATATGTCTGTCTGGCAGGTATCATCTGACCTTGACCTCATTTTCATGGTTCATTGGTCAATGTTAAGTTTTCATGGTTAGGTTTGTTTCTTAGATACTATAAGCAATAGGTCAACTATATGTAATACCTAAATTGATTGTAAGGTGTACATGTCTGTCTGGCATGGTTCATCTGACCTTGACCTCATTTTCATGGTTCATTGGTCAGTGTTACGTTTTCTTGTTTAAGACTGTTTCTTAGAAACAATAAGCAATAGGTCAACTATGTTTGGTTTATTGAATGATTGTAAGGTGTACATGTATTTCTCGTTTGGTTTATCTGACCTTGACCTCATTTTCTTGGATCATGTTAAGTTTATGTGTTACTTGTAGTAAAACTTTGTATTTAGGACTATCAACATAAAATCAATGGTTAGTAAAGAAGGCGAGACATTTCAACGTGTGCACTCTTGTTATCATATAAGGCACTACGCAAAAAATGGTAAAAATCATCATTAAAGGGCAATAACTCCAATATGGAGTCATCGGACTATTTCTACCATATTGTATAAATTGTAGATCTTATCTTGCTGATCATTTTTGCCTATTTAAGTTTCTATCTATCCATTATAATTTTCAATATATATAAGGCAAAACGCAAAAATTTGGTAAAAATTCATCAAAGGTCCATAACTCTAATAAGGAGTTGACTGACGATTTCAACCATTAGACTAATTTGTAGAACATGTCCAGCTGATTATTTTTGCATTTTAAAGTTTCTCTCTATTATAGTGTTCAAGATAAAAGGCAAAATTAAAATATGGAAAAAATTGTCTTTTAAGGGCAATAACTCCTATAAGAAATCGTCGGAGTTTTGACATAAATAGACAATAGGTAGAGCTCAACATTCTGAATATTTCTGCCCTTGTCAGTTTTTCTTTATTTACAACAGTTTTCAAAATAATAGACAAAACTTGTTTTTAACCCCTATGTTCTATTTTTAGCCATGTCGGCTATCTTGGTTGGCAGGCAGGATCATCAGACACATTATTTAAACAAGATACCTCGATGATAATTGTGGCCAAGTTTGATTAAATTTGACCCAGTAGTTTCAGAGAAGATTTTTGTAAAAGTTAACAGACGACGACAACGGATGCCAAGTGATGAGAAAAGGTCACTTGGCCCTTTGGGCCAGGTGAGCTAAAAATAAGGACTCCTGGAGATGTGGTATGATGGCCAATGAGAGAACTATCAATCAAAAATCAAATAAAGTGGATGAAAGCATTTATAGGCAAATAAGCCTAGTATCGGAATATTGTTTTACCATATAGCCTAAAATGGTAATGACTGGACAATGGAAAGCAAATCAAAGCGCGAAAGCGCTGTAAAGGCAGTTAATTACAGGTTGTGTGTATTTTTAGTCCAGTTATATCATTATCTTGCATAGTACATTGTACTTATGAGAGGTGGCTTCAGTTTTTAAGATTTAGAGTTCTCTGATGATATTGCACAAGTTTTATGAATGTCATATTCTGAGCACTATATGAAGGCGATTGTTCTCACTTGTTTATGAACTAGTGCATTTTCTTTTTAGTAATAAATAAATGTTATCAACTGTATTTTATTCAACTTTGCAAATGTGGTTTGTTACTGGTAAGTACAATGTATGGATGATAGGTGTTTCATTGGCAATCATAACACATCTCCTTATTTATATAATGATCTATATTCAACGACCTCAGGTACAAAAAAAATGTATGTAACTAAACTATGATGGGAAACCTTTGACTTCTTTCTTTTATATAAACTTTTGATTTGGTACCATAGAACTAAGTAGAATAAATGTACATTGCAACATGTCAACTCGTTCAATGACAATACTTTTTTTAGAAACTATAACTCCAAGCAAAATTATATTTCCAAGTATAAAGTAATTTATGAATGAAACAAGAGTGCACACGCTGAAATGTCTCGCCTTCTTTACTAATCATTCATATTATGTTGATAGTCCTAAATATAAAGCTTTATTACAACTGTCACATAAACTTAACATTAACCAAGTAAACTAAACATTGACCAATGAACCAAGAAAATGAGGTCAAGGTCAGATGAACCATGCTAGGCAGGCATGTACAGCTAACAATTCTTCCATACAACAAATATAGCTGACCTATTGCTTATAGTTTAAGAAAAACAGACCAAAACACAAAAACTTAAAACTGAGCAATGAACCTTGAAAATGAGGTCAAGGTAAAAAAAAACCTGCGTGACTGACAAATAGTCATAAAATATTTCCATACACCAAATATAGTTGAACTATTGCATATAGTATTAGAAAAAAGACCAAAACTCAAAATCTTAACTTTGACCACTGAACCATGAAAATGAGTTCAAGGTCAGATGACACCTGCCAGCTAGACATGTACACCTTACAATCATTCCATACACCAAATATAGTAGACCTATTGCATACAGTATAAGAAAAACAGACCAAAACACAAAAACTTAACTATAACCACTGAGCCCTGAAAATGAGGTCAAGGTCAGATGACACCTGCCAGTTGGACATGTACACCTTACAGTCCTTCCATACACTGAATATACTAGACCTATTGCTTATAGTATCTGAGATATGGACTTGACCACCAATACTTAACCTTATTCACTGATCCATGAAATGAGGTAGAGGTCAAGTGAAAACTGTCTGACGGGCATGAGGACCTTGCAAGGTACGCACATACAAAATATAGTTATCCTATTACTTATAATAAGAGAGCCGCCGGATCACTATCCCTATGTCGAGCTTTCTGCGTCAAAAGTCGCAGGCTCGACAAAAAGGAGTTCTTAATTAAGAAATAAACTGATTCGCTGAGCGCAGCTGGATACACCTGCAGAGGTCCAACCCTGAACAGTTGGGGCAAAAATAGACACAATATTCAAGCTTGATACAGGTCTGAATTTGGATTGTAATTAAATATTTGACATATTATAGTTTCTGAATAAATGTTGTCAAAGAACTTGAAATCAGTTATATGAATTGAATTTATATTCAATTAAAGATTTCTTGCTGTTGTGCAATACACCGTGCTGTTGCGCAATACTTAATAAATCTGTTGCCAGACTATAAACAAATAAAGTTCAATTTCTTCTCAATGTCATATTTGAAATTTATGAAAATCAATAGGGAGATTACATTAATAGCTATAAATAATTAACCAGAGTTTCATGCGAACTGCTTAAAGCATTTTTGAGTTGTTGTCCAAAAACTGGAAAATCCTCCCTTTTTTAATGAATAAAATCCCATAACTCAGAAATGTAAAATCTAAAATTTATAAAATTCTAAAGGGAGCTTTCGGATTGATAATTTAGTCTTAGATGCAAGATTTTTTTATCAGTTGTTAGTGGCTTTGAACTAGCTGTCAGTAAATGTGAGTACTCTCAGATCTGTACTTAGTGTCTTTTTGTTGTTTGGATGTACAACTACCCGGCCACGTCCACTTGTATTTGTATTTATCCATCTGATGAGTTAAGCCTCTTTCAACTGATTTTTATAGTTCGTTCTTATATTGTACTGTTACACCACCATGACCACTGTCCCAGGTTAGGGGGTGGGTTGGGATCCCGCTAACATGTTTAACCCCGCCACATTCTGTATGTACATGTATGTGCCTGTCCCAAGTCAGGAGCCTGTAATTCAGTGGTTGTGGTTTGTTTATGTGTTGCATATTTGTTATTCGTTCATTTTTTGTACATAAATTAGGCTGTTAGTTTTCTTGATTGAATTGTTTTACATTGTCATTTCGGGGCCTTTTATAGCTCACTGTGCGGTATGTGCTTTGCTCATTGTTGAAGGCCGTACTGTGACCTATAGCTGTTAATTTCTGTGTCATTTGGTCTCTTGTGGAGAGTTGTCTCATTGGCAATCATACCACATCTTCTTTTTTATATTTACATCAACAGATATAAACAATTCACCAAAGTCAAGTTGAGACAACAAAACTTAGTTGTAAGATCTCTGAAATTTTTTACACGATTGTACGGTGACAGTAACACCTGTAACTGCTTAACCCATTTCTTATGCACTTTGGTTCGATAAACTCACTGAATATCATACCACATCTCCTTATTTTTATATGCATTACAATTTACATGTGCATGTTATTGTAAATATATATATATCAGAACAAACTTCATTGCGTCACTTTTATTTATGCATCCTTTGGCCATGTCATGTTGGCACAATACAAGTTCTAAAATTACACAACATAAAACAACTAAATGTTATTTCAAATGAAAGTTTTGTTTCAGTTCCATTCATAGGATTTATCATGTTTATTAGAATTTTGTATGTTTTGCCAAGTCCAATAATTAGCTCTATGTGCACGTGTTAATTGGAGACTTTTCTATCCCGTATACACTGGTATAAGAGTTTTGGAACTAATTCTGTTTCTTTTTTTGAAAAAAAGTGAGCAAACAAATCTTGCACATTTAAACCTTTGTCTGCCATCACACTGTCACCTGGATCACATAACTGAACTATTCTACATCTTTCAACTATTTCACAGTCACTGGTACAACCAACATATGCATTAGAGACATAGATGACTAAAACACCAGGTGTCGAACATACAAGTATTTTCAGTGTTTCTGTTTTTATATGATGAAAAGGTTGCCTGAGCTCTAGGAGCTTTAGGTTTTATCACGGGATATTCTGTGCTGTCAATAATAATCCAAGTTGTAGGAAACTTTAATTTGAAGTTGGATGGCGAAAAATACCTGACTAAACCACTAAATGGCCAATTGTTAGCCTCATGCCACTGTTTAAAAATAAAAACAATCCATGTTTACACAACATTCTTAACACTAGTTTCAATCTAGAATCTGGACAGTTCAAAGTTGGTTGTATAATGCCTCAATTTCATCAAAGTCATAAAAAAACTGATTTTCAAATGACACCCTATCCATTTGAAAATATATGTGTCTCAAACAATGTGCTGCTGGACCAAGTGTGGTCAAAACAAATAAAAATTTAGTATACAACTCTAAACCGGTATAAAAATGCATGGCTGTGTCACGTGTCTTCATTTCAAAATTCTCTGCTGAAAATATAGGCATTGATGGTGTTTGCGTAATTCCATCTGTGAAGCTCAACATTAGCTCGGCAGTTGGTGGTGGACAGTCATAAATCCTGTCTGCAGTATGAATGACTTCTTCAGGAAAACCAACTTTACAATCAAAACTTTCCTCTAGATTTCTACTACAATATTCATCAAGTTTAGTTCTTTTGTTTTCACAGGAAACTGCCCTGATTTTTCTTTTTGTGGACGATTCAGTCTCTTGCTTGGTCCAGGAAAATAGGCTGGGAATGGCAGTAGAATTAAGTCTCTGCATGGTGGGTTTGCGCCCTGAAAAAGGTTATAAAACATTAGTTTTTTGATAATTAAATGAACTTCCATTAGCAATGCATACTTTGTACTACCTGGCAAAATATTAACTAGATTTATTCATTACAATCTGGATAAAACTATGTTTTCCTGATTCAATGTACATCAAAATGTATGTTATGTAAATCCAAAGGACAAACAATGAGAGACTTATGCAACAAACGTACATTGTTTGTACCTAAATAACTATAATATAGATGAGCATGTCATTGTTTTGTTCCTGTTAACATAGTCATTGATATTTTTCAAGAAAGTCTATGAGGCATAGCTTATGCATTCCTGTCATTACTACATTAGCATAATTACTGCTAAAATAATTCTCAGTATGATATACCTCTTGTAAGAAATCATTATAATTGTAGCGAGCACCAAAAAATCTCAAACAGATCACATTGAATCGTAATCCAAAAAATTATGACGTCTTCTTCTTCTTCTTCTTCTTCCAAGTAAGGAACCGAATTTCATATTGAATGTGTATGGTCCCGCGAAAACTTAGCGCAGTGCCGGGCAAGGCAGCAAGTCTTCTCAAGGTTATTTACATTTAAAACGTTGGCCAATTTACAATTAAAATTATGTACACGCTATGCTGTTTACTTCCTTCCAGATCCTGCTTTCAGAGCAGCTCTGAATCCCTCTATCGAGTCAGTCGATGTTGTTTTAGCTGGAAGTTGATTCCAATCCCTGATGGTCTTTGGGAAGAATGACTGTCCATAGGTGTCGGTTTTTGTTCTTTCTTGGTAGAAGCGGCCTATACCTCTGGTCCGGCTGTCGTTGGGTATAAGTTATTGTTGTCTATCTATATCGATTAGCCCGTGCTGGATTTTAAATAGCATACATAGTCTGTTGGTTTTCCTACGTTCTTCCAGGCTTTCCCACTGTAATTGTTTAACCATGTGTGTTACACAGCCAGGTGTTCGGTCTGAGTAGTTATTATGAACAAATCTTGCTGCTCTTTTTTGAACTTGTTCTAATGATTTGATCTTTTTTTGGCTCGAATTAACCACCCCCTTTTATTCTAAAACGATAATTGCGGTTGTAAACAGACTTTGGTTTATTCGCATGGCGATTACATATATAACTATATATTTTAAAAAGAAAATAGAGTTTTACCATGAATAGTTTCCTGCACGTAGTCTTTTTCAGTAAAATGTGCCTTGCAAACAACAGCTGATTGAGATGGACTCCACGATTTCATCGTGTTCTCGTCCAATCTGCGTATGGGCCATGGCGTTGATCCAACTTTTCCTTCTTTTTAAGTCATTTGGAAATGCATGTCCTCCATTTAAATGACATCCAGGTACACAACAACAAGTACTTGGCATCGTTAATTAAAAAATGCAACTGTATAGTTGCACAGTGCAGAAACCGGAAGTTTAAGAATAGGATCGACTATAGGTTACAATACACCATTAGATTTTATGGGCGCAGCCATTTTATGAGCATAACATGGTATTCAGAATTAAGAGTATAGCTAATCCTGATTGGTTGATATGTGCGCCCGTTATTTTTTGTAATTAGAGACTTCGTGCATTCTGCATTATACCAAAGGCCAAATAAATTATTTTCCTTAGCCCTAACGGAACTGAGATGTCTTTTAAACGCTAGGATGAGACACGTATTTTTAAGTGCAAAATTGATAGGCATGGGAGATAAGTACAAATTACGCTAAGAAAAGCAACGCGAACCTATATTTTTTGGACCAAAAAATACTGTCCTAATAACTTTTCTTTAATTCTAGCAAGGTTTCGTTAAAAAAATCAGCTTTCTAAAGTCTGTATCTCGAAAAAGGCTATCATTGTCGCCTATGGGGAAATTAATTGTTTATTATAATCTATACAGCGTCGACATTTCTTTATCATAGTGCTCAAAAAGTGTCAAAAACAGTAATTTTACTTGATATTTGATGTGAAACCGTATTTTTTGGTGACAAATGAATTATTGATTAACTAGTTTTTAAGCTATAGTCTGTTTCATATTTGTTTAGCGTTTTACCTTAGAAACAAGGGTGTGTTCGACTTTTGACTTACTGTGGAGAGAATATGTCATTTTCTGAACTTCTGCTGATTTGTTTGTAAAAAGCACATACACGTCTAGAGTTTGGATATACAAATCGATTTTTAAACATGACAATCTCGATCCAAGTGCTGTTATCGAAATTACCAAATTCAGTGAAAATGTACAGAAACGATCCCCTTCGAACATTGAAATGTTCACTCGAATGGCAGACTATAAAAATTAGAATAGGCATGACATTTCGTTGTTAACGAATAGTTTTCGATGTTTCAACACAAATATTTACACATTTTTCATATTTTGTAATGCTATAGTCTGTTTCAAAAATGTACTTTTATACGAAAATGGTTTCATTTAAAACTGTTGTTCAAAATTCACCGTAGTAGTTACATATTGGATCGGTTTTGGTATCAATATAATCAGTACTTGATGACATATAAAGAATCATTGGAGAAAGTGGACATTATCTTCAGGCCCTTTTTAGCAGTACCGCATTTACTAAAAAAATCAGAAATTTTTTTTTCACATTTTTTGACTGGGGTTACCTCTGATAAAAAATTGTGAAAATTCAGAGAGTAATGCCAGAACGTTTTGAAGATGATTTTTGTGTGGCATATATATTTATGCATCTAACGAACTATGAATTGCATGATTCTAGAAAGTATTAAATAGCGTATAGGTTACAATACACCATTAGATTTTATGGGCGCAGCCATTTTATGAGCATAACATGGTATTCAGAATTAAGAGTATAGCTAATCCTGATTGGTTGATATGTGCGCCCGTTATTTTTTGTAATTAGAGACTTCGTGCATTCTGCATTATACCAAAGGCCAAATAAATTATTTTCCTTAGCCCTAACGGAACTGAGATGTCTTTTAAACGCTAGGATGAGACACGTATTTTTAAGTGCAAAATTGATAGGCATGGGAGATAAGTACAAATTACGCTAAGAAAAGCAACGCGAACCTATATTTTTTGGACCAAAAAATACTGTCCTAATAACTTTTCTTTAATTCTAGCAAGGTTTCGTTAAAAAAATCAGCTTTCTAAAGTCTGTATCTCGAAAAAGGCTATCATTGTCGCCTATGGGGAAATTAATTGTTTATTATAATCTATAGGCTGGTCCTCTCCCTTGCAACATATACCTTTGTTGTCATCTGTCAGAGCCAAACAGATAAAGGACAGGGAACCAGTCTAGATCGACTACCACGGCGCCACCTGTTCAGGAACGATAATTTGCTACTTTATATAACTGCGAAATAACAATAACGTTAGACGGGTTCACGTGCATAAACAGAAATGCGCTTTAAATTATATAATATAATTCATGTTCAGTCGACCTTTAATTATTATATCAACGACTGAAATTGTTTATTAACATCTAGATTGCAGATAACACTCGAAATTAACCCGAGCTCTTTCCACACGGAATTCAAATAATTCTAGTTTGTCAATCGGTTGACTGCTTATAATGCAAAATACAAATATATCAAAAGTTTTTAAAACTAACAAAACACAATGATCGTTTCTCTATTTCCCAATGTAAATGAAATGAAACAAAAAACATTTTATATCACAATAAGAAGAGGAGAGAATCAACATTTTCCGGATCTACTTGGAGCCTAATGACCCCCCACGTAGATAAGTTGGATATCGCGGAAAGAAATATTAACACGGCAACTAGAAAGGCATTAAAGCACTGCCTTTAAAAACAATTTCAAATAATCAGAGAGAGGCGAGAGATACCATAGGCATATTAAAACTCATAAGTAGAAAACAAACTGACCCACAGTTGTTAATTTCTGTGTCATTTGGTCTCTTGTGGAGAGTTATCTCATTGGCAATCACACCACATCTGTGACTCATGTCATGGCAAAAAACAAAGTGATAAACAGTACAAAAAACACAACAAAGAAAACTGAAGACTGAGCAACAGGAACACCACCAAAAACGGGGGGTGATCTAAGGTGCTCCTGAATAATTAGCAGATCCTCCTCCATATGTGGAAAATAATTTCCCAGCCAAATATTAATATTGACAAAAATATATCTTTCAACCTCTCTTGGTCAAACCTCGTCTTTGAAAAACCAATAGTTAGTGCATTGTAATAATAACATAATATAAAAACAGTTGTAAAAATAATTTTATTGGTTGTCATTATGTATGTACAAATTCATGGTTTCCATGCACACAAAAAAGAAAGTGGAGTCTATTCAGTGATCAACCTGTAGCACTGATTCTGGTTTTGAAACTACAATGTGTGTCCATAGGACACCATGCCCCGCTCGCACTATCACATTTCCATGTTCAGTGAACCATGAAATCTGGGTTATAACCCTATTTTGGCATATATATTTAAAAGTTCATATCAGAATGAACATGTGCACCAAGTTTGAGTTGATGTGACCACAACTTCATGTTAAATGATCTTTAACCAAAACTTTTACCTACCATAAATAAATTTAACCTGAAACAGAACAGAAGGACGAACGCACAGATCAGAAAACATAATGCCCCCCTACTATCATAGATGAGGCATACAAAAACTTTTAGAATGGATGAATGTACTCATATACATAAATGGCGATTTTCATGCGAATTATATACTGTAAATTCTGAAAATATTGCAAGGTTTTTATTATTGTGAATAATGTGTCTTGGAGATTATTTCAAATAAGAACTCGCATCCTGATATCTGTTACCTATATCTGTATGCATATTTTCCTGAATTCTCAATAATTAATCTCGAATTTTTGTCTATTCTTCAATAATGGCAATAATAACTACATGCAATAATTTAGGAATTTACTGATGGCAAATAAATTATAAAAATAATGTCATGGAAATGTAACAATTATAGAATTCTATTACTATTGACATGGAATTATTAAGAAGTGTTGTTTTCAGTATAGTCTCTAAAAAGCACAAACATTTTGACATACATTCATAACTTATTGTTTACCATCTTGTGCATTTAAAAACATTTCATATTAAAAACATATTTAATTGGTTTTATGTACTATATTATTAAATAAATGTATGACAAAGTCTATGGTATGTAATTTTAAAGCTTAATGTAAGTATGACATTGTAATCAATGCCTTTCTTCATCGCTGTTCTGAGCATCTAGTAAAATTCTCCCTTTAATACAAGTTCCAGGAATAATCGTTCAATCCCTTAAAAGCATATAAAAAATGTCATAACTAAAAATCATATTAATAGTGTAGCATAAATGCCAATGTAATTTTGGTAAAATGCCAAAGACAAAATTTCGATTAAATTTGGTATGTCATTATGGTAAAATTTTCTGTTTTAATGATATGAAAATATCGGTGGGGTGTCACTTTATTCTTTCTTGCTGTTTAATCATTTAAGTTTGAATTAAGTAAGAAAAAACATGAAAAAATAAGATTTTGCAGTTTGACTCGGTCATGACCTTACAATTATATTTTTGTTTCATCCAGTTTTCACACTATACATATTGAGACTAGTTTATTTCTACTGAAAAAACAAACCCAGTGACCCCTTAAAATTTTCATATCATCAAAACAGAAATGTTTACAGCAAAAACATATCATCTTATCAAAATTCTGTGGACAAAATTTCAAGAAAAGACAATTTAAAATGAAATGATGTTATTTTTCACCATTTTTTACAATAATTATGTACATTTAATTTAAGACCTATTTCCCAAATTTTAAATTGACTGTATCTCTGGAAGTATAAATGCCACATATATTTTTTTTTCCAATATTCAGATGCAGATCAAAGATTTCAAAATGCTTACAAAATATCAATGAAATCCAAAATATCACCCAATTAAGTATGCATTGCCTTGAATAACAAACATTTCTTATTTTGAGAGTTTGATCAGAATTGTCTTCTTTACAACCTTTCAAATTTTCCTGCATTCCTTAAATTTGACAGAAATCAAGCAAACTTTATATTGGATAAAATAATACCCAATGAATAAAAGAAACTCAATTACTATTTCATAGTTATCACCACTGACTACACATACCTTTCTTGGGGGGAAAAAAGTCAGCTTATAAATGAATAACCTGAGAAAATTCACAAGTTCATTCTCAACAAATTTAAGTATCAACCAACTTTGATAAATCATAAAATCTATGACATGCCTTTGTACCGGGGCTCTCTAAATACATTCACACATCGTTTGAAATTTTAAACATTGAAATGACCTGTGTACAATTTATTCATATAACCGTTGTGAACTTTTGGTACAGTGATAGAAGCCACATTTTATACACATTGAAATCCTACATTTGTAAGGAAGATGGAAGACAAAAAGTTTTGCGACTCCAGCACAGAAAAAAAAAATAGAAATTTTAAATTTATACATCCACTGCAATTATTAATTTACAATATTTAAGTAAATATACAAATTCTGTTTATGTTATCATTGAATATTGAACTTGTTATTTCATGTTTCATTATTATTTTCCATTATTTTTTAAACCTATTGCAGATTTCTCCAAAAGTGGTGGTCCAAAGGTCCTGACCACCAAAATTTTGCAAAGGAGCAACAAAATTTGGGTATTTTACAATAGAAATAATAGTGTGGACCAGCAAATTTTCTTCAAGGAACAATAGGGAAAAAAAGATTTCGAGAACTCTGTTATTGCTCACTAAACATGTACATGACCTATAAACAGATGAATGTCTATATTTCAAGTAAACCTACATCAATTTTTTTTACAAGATATAGAGCAATAAAACAGAAACAAAGTTTTGATTTCTTTCCAATTAAGTCCTAGCCATTCTACTCATTTGATCAGAATTCAATCAGTCTGACCAAGCACACATTTTTTAAATGTAGGACTGAATGGGGAATAACATAAAATTCCTGTATTCTAAAACAAATTACAGAAGATAAATAAATACATAAATAGAAGTGAACAAAGAAAACAATCTATGACTATGTGTAACAAGACAGCAATACCAAGAATCACTCTTACACAAGTTACAGATCAGAACTAAAATTACATACAACAAATCAGTGAACATTCATAGAAAGAGAAGGATCGTGTTCATATCCTTTTGATTTTTTAGCTTTGGAAGCTTCAGATTCAGGATTTGGACTGGTTTGACGATGAAGGATTTCATCATAAGAATCCATGTAGCATGGTAGATATTTCTGAACCAGTCTTTCAAATTCTTCTTCTACTATCTTACCAGCTGTACCTATCTCTGACGTGGCCTGAAAAAGAAATATAAAATAAACCCTATTAACAGTTACTTTTAATCTTATAACTGTATATTAAAGAATGAAGCTACTTTCATGAATATCTTCAAAATTCTTTTCCATTCACTTAATATAACATAAAGTTTTTTGTTTTTTTTTTGGTAATGCAAATTCAATAATCCCTGATTTTGGATACAATTACCATTATATGGGGATTGTTAAAAACCTAAGATTTTAATTTCTGTCTGTTGTTAGGAATTCAGAAATTTTGAAATGGAAAATACTGCAAACATTATGTTAAATTTGTGATCAGAAACAAAACTTTCAAAGATTTAAAAAAAAATCTAGAACAGTCCTTAAATAACATGTATAAATCGAGAAAATCTTCAATTTCTTAATATGAGCACTCATTGAAAAGATGAATAACAATGTACAACTAAGATTTATACACAGGCTACAGAATACTCTAATGATTGTATGAAGTATGAAAATATATAAACATATCTATATACAAGAACATTTTGTTCTAGTTCCAGTTGAAATATGAATAAATCACATCCTTTCTTTTTCATTAAAGAAATTCTTATAAAGTCAATATATGAAATATTCAAATCAAGATCTTTGGTACCAGGGGAAATCCCACAGTTATTGCTTAATACCAGTTCAAAGTACAACATGCAGGAAGTCCAAGTATGAGTTTAAAAGCAGATAATTTATATTCCATTATCTATAGACACGATGATCTGTGTTTTATGGATTAAAATGTATTAGATTAAACAACTTTAATAAATTAAATTAAATCCAATAAATCATAGTAAAATATGAAATTTTTAAAATTCTATGCAAGAACCTTTTTTTGTGGTCTCATTGTTTTTGAAAATAAAAAACTTTACTATTTTTCTACTAATTTGGTAGAGTTAATTTTCAACATGTTCAAAGCTCAAATTTTACTTTTAAAATGAGTCAATTAAAAAATCATTAACATAAGATCATTTCTCAAATCTAAGAAAGCAAAGTACCCACACATACTTCATAAAGTTCATTTTATAAACTTTAATAAGTTTACTGCAAGTTAACTTCAAAATTATATAAAGAATTTCAAGACTATTTAATAATTTATTGAATATTTGAATTATCTGCTTTAACAATCAAATATTCAAAACATGAATAATATTATTTTGAACTGTTCTTTGAGAGGGAAGACAAAACTTAGAAGCCACATTAAAACAATTAAAGACCCACATGTATGTTTTCCATAATGCTGAAACTCACCTACAATAAATATAGTTTTATGACAAAACATTGCTTTATAGATAAACCACATATTGATCAATTAATTCATTCAAATTCACAAAAGCTATGTACATTCATGACTTTTTGAGATATTTCTCTTAAAAAAATGGATTTTTTTCTCATTTTTACTCTGGTTTCTAAAAATAAGTATCTCCTTCCATCATATACTGAACCATTGGTCAATCTTATCCCTTTCCATGTGCAGACATAGCAGAGTGGATTAAAGATTTACCAATATATACCATGGTAGTCTTCAATTAAAGTGTCTAGATGTTTTGTAATGGCATGTCAATAAATAAATCTAAGAGGCCTTTTTATTATTTTGCAATGACAGAGACTGAACTTTCGGTGCATGTCACCATAAGACACAAGTCAGGAACCCCATCGGTAGTTGTTGTATGTCATCTTTGATAATGTTTTTCAATATTTGGAGAATTGGTATTTAATGAAAGATCTTTTGACTGTTTCTGTAGAATTCATTCTCAACTTTATAAAGACTCGAGATGTTTTAAAGCTTGATATATTGTATGGACCCTATCTTTTGTTGAACCCTGTATGTGACCCTCTAGACGTGTTTTGATTATTTCTGTAGTTTGGTTGATGCTCAGTGATGTATACCCAATATCTTATTTATTTAAAGTCATTACAAATACCCCTTATGGCAAAATTGACATGTGAGGAAATCATCTTTGCTTGTACTGATGTCATAATTATGTTTTCATAGAAAAAAAAATAGTTCACAAGTTGAAAATGAAAAATCAAGTTTAGAATAAAAGTTTATTGATTAAGAGATTATTTACAACTTGATAATATAAACTAAAGGTACTGTATATAATTTTTACTCCCATTAGTTCTTTTTTTCTCTATTTTTTCAGGAATAGTTGCCCTCTTTGGATACATCTACACACAGTGCATTTTGAAGTTAAAATTACTTAAACATTTCAGTTTAATTATGATATACACAAAAGGAAAAGATGTCAAGTGTCTTGTTATGTATTAATGTTCTTTTATGTTGATAACAACAAAAATAAACATGAACATATCAGGACAAGAGAAGTAACTCTGCTATAAACTTACAGCATTGTATGTAGCACAATTCTGGAACACAAGTTTAACATCTGCTATGAATTCTTCTACACTATCATAATGATTAAAATTCTGTCTTTGGATCTTGACTTTGATCTTTGAAAAATCTATAGGATTGGTGATAATCTTGTAATAATTAGGAACCTGAAAAATACAGAACATGGCAACATATGATCAATTTTCACACATAATTGCCATTTATGAAATATTCATTCATTTTTCTCCTAGACTACAAATCAAGGCTTTCGAAGATTTAGATTTTGGATTCTTGTGTTCATGTAAAACTGATTTTAACCCCACCAGATTTTTGCTTGTACAAAGTCAGGCTATTTGGACCATGTTTTGTTTTTATTTGTACATGGTATAAGTTGTACATGTTGTATGTACATCTATTTTTTTCTTCAGATTATGATTTTAATGGTCGGTATAGTCTGTTGTACTGTCCTATATTCTTGGCAATTCCAGGTATCTTTCTTATTTATTGTCTTGTGAAAACAAGACCTACACAGGTTAGCTAACAATATTAGTATAAGGAAGTATGTTTCCAAATCGAGTCTCTGTTATGGGTATACTCGGTGTTTTCATATGCATAAAAAAGCATGCAACCAGAATTTTTTGAAGAGTTTATGAAGGATTTCTTGGATGGTACTTGCCATAAAATTGTTTATAGACTGCAAAAAGCAGATCTATTTATTATTAAACACCGAATAATGAGAAAAAAATGTTTTGGAAATTTTGCTCAGGATGCTATCTCTTGTTCATCAAGAAACTTTTGTCAAACATAGGCAAATGTTCTAAATATTTCTTGAAGGATTGACAAAAATTTCTCCTGTAAATAGACTGAATGTAGGATCACTATTTAATTTTGTGGATCTAGGAAAATTACATGTTCATGGATATTTGATTTTGTGTTTTTGCCAAAGTCTGCATACAAGCCTTTGTATTTCGTTGAACATTTAAATTATTGGTTCACTTTTACCTAACGAAATTGGTATCCCACAATTATTAAAGATTCCACAGTATATATAAATATCACATGACATGATTCTATATCTGAGTTATCAGTCAAAATAAACCACCATTCATTATATTTACTGTGAATTACTAAGTACCAGCAAAGGGTGTTTTTTAACAGAATCAATGAGTGTATACTGAAGATCACTTCCTATTTTGTTATTGTTTGTATTGGATTTACTAGGTACTTACAGCTTTACTAACAGGTTCATGGAATACTGTACTCTTCTCATGGATAAATAACTCTAGCAGAATTCTCTCGCATGTCTGTAATGTCAAATTGTCAAGTTAAAAATTTCTCATGGATATACAATACTCATTATACTTTCATACATATTTGCCATACAAATCATCTCATCTGTAAATAAATTTTCTTGCATACATGGCATGTATAGCTTTGATATCCTTAAATGTTTGTAAAAGATAATTAGTTGTGTAAAAACATAACTACCCATGGGTATAAAACTCTTACAGCTACACATGCCTAAAACTTTATTGAATTTTTGCATGTAAGACCTCACAATCCCTCAACTGTCAGGTAATAAAAAAAAACTCAGGATTTCAAATCCTCAATATATGTCACATCTTTTGATATTTTTTTAACATTTTTTGTATGTTATATTGTAGTTTTATTTTAAAAACTTCAGAAATGGTGTCTACAAAGTAAATTGTAAAATGTCTATGTAGTTCTTTATTAAGTAAACCATTGAACAGATTAACCAAACTATGTTGATATCTCAAGTTACCCTTTGCATGCTTTGATAGCCCTATCATCAACAATATGGAATGGATACTTGAACATATTTATTTAGAGGTTAAAAACACCCTTATTTATCAATCTTTAACAATTTTGTAACTACAGTCAAAATTAAGTTGAAATGGTTACCCATTATTCTGGTCTACATTTGTTTGGAGTTCAATGTGGTCATGACTGATTTTAAACTTGCATGTGTTAACAGGTAAATTATTTCTTTTGGAAACATGAACTTATGCAACATTATGGACTATACAAATCAATTACTGCAATTCAGTGGTTGACTTTAATAAAACAAAATTATTGATTATTGTTATGTCATGTTCATAAATCAGGCTGTTGATTTTTTAATTTGAATTGTTTAAATTTACATTTTGTCATTTAACGGGCCTTTCAAGTCTTACTTTACAACATGGGTTTTGCTCATTGTTGGTGGTCATACGTTGACCTTTCGTCATCTTGTCTCTGGTGGGTAGTTGTCTCATTGGCAATCATACCACATCCTCTTATTTTTATATAAGTCTAAACAAACAAACCTTCCTCTCATGTTCCGACAATCCAGTTGGAGCTTTTCTTTTTGTCCCAGGAATATATGAGAATTCTTTATTTTCTTTCTCTTTCAGTACAACCTGCTCGTCCGTCTTACACAGAGTACACTGCCATTCTCCACTAGAATACAAATCGTGGTTCATTTTTATCTTGCTAAAAATGATTAATGATGCGTTATTTACAACAAAGGAAAGCGCAAGCAAACATTCTCAAATGCATGCAACCAATGATTAGTGTTAAATGATCTGGGCTATATGTTCACAAAAGACTATGAAATACCACAGTTCCTTACTTTTAATTAAGTTATAATAGCTGGTTCATAACATACATGTACATTTTTGTTTATCAAACAGAGATGGTAGGTTCAAAAATTGCTGTATATTATAAAAATATATTTTGCAAAATGATCTGTGTCATATTACCTCTTTTCATCCAGTAAGTTTTGTTAAGAGTTATCTTCTGGTAGGGTTACATGTTTTTATATAATCATTGTTATCTACATGAATGTTAAAAAAATTAAATATTGTTCTTTTTTATTAAATTTATCCATAAATGGAAACAATTGCAGAACTAAGTACACTGATTTATCATTTGCCTAAATTTTCTATTAAAACTGTACTGAACAACAGGAAAAAATGATAATTCTATTTTTCCATTTATTATAAAATCAACTATTAAATACTTTGATGTACTTTACATGTATATGTATGTTAAATCAATACATGTCAATAATACTGTCTGTTACTTCACAGAGAACATGTCTGCACTTCAGTGTACTGACTTCTGGTATATATATTGTCCTATTGATTTATCGATGAAAATAATATTGTTCTGAAAGGCTTAAGGAATTTTACTATTTTTGCAATTTAAGGGGCCAAATAATGGCTCTTTTATCATAGCTCCTCCTTTAAAGATTCTTTTATCAAGATTTCAGAAAAGATGACTACAAATTTGATGTGATTTATTATTTTTCATGTTTGATGAAGACAAAAATGGAAGAAGGGATAAGCATGAATAGGGATAAAAGGCTGTAAAATCTAACAGGTTTAGCATTCTTTTAATATTAGACCATACACAAATAAAATCGCCATATATATAACACCATCAAGATGCCCTAAAATTTGATATCACAATAAAATGCTCCACTGGGTGCAGCTTGATACGACCGCAGAGGTCGAACCCTGAACTGTCGGGGCAAGTATAGACACAACATTCAAGCTTGATACAGCACTGAATTTAGATTCTGATTAAATATTTGACACAGCATAGGTTTCTGACACAGAATGAATGTGGTCTAAGAACTTAAAAACAATTTAATTTACCTATTCAAACCATATCATTATTATTTGCTTTTATATATAAATCAGAAATAACCAATTTAAAATGGAAAATTTTAAAGAAAAAAAAAGGAAAAAAAAAAATCCCCCCTCAAATTTTTTGAACCCCCTTATGATTCATCACCCCAAACTCAATCCCAGCCTGCTATTTGCTTTTATATATAAATCAGAAATAACCAATTTAAAATGGAAATTTTAAAGAAAAAAAAAAGGAAAAGAAAAATCCCCCCTCAAATTTTTTTAACCCCCTTATGATTCATCACCCCAAACTCAATCCCAGCTTGCCCTTTGTGTTACAATGTATGGTGCCTTGCAGTATAATTTCAGAGAGATCCGTACACTTGAACACAAGTTGTTGTCTGGAAACTAGAAAAATGCTTGTTTTTTTGCCCCTTTTTGGCCCCAAATTCCTAAACGTTTAGGGCAATTACCCCCAAACTCAAACCCAGCTTTCCCTTTGTGATATGGAACCTTGTTGTACCATTTCTTAAAGATCCATACACTTACACACAAATTATTGTCCTGAAACTAGAGAGATGCTTGTTTTTTTTGCCCCTTTTTGGCCCCTTATTTCTAAAATTTTGGGGCAATTATCCCCAAAATCAATCCCAGCATATCTTTTGTGGTATGGTACCTTGCAGTACAATTTCAGAGAGATCCATACACTTGAACACAAGTTATTGTCTGGAAACTAGAAAAATGCTTATTGTTGTTGGCATGACACGGGTTATGTTCTTCTCACATATTTTATGACGGTATTATACTAAACCCCTAACAGGAGGGATTGTGCCTGATATTCATATGATGAAGACATAATCTTTCAATCAGTTTAATTGAGGTCTGGCGCTGGCATGTCAGTAACTGCTAGTAGTCTGTTGTTATTAATGTATTATTGTCATTTTGTTTATTTTCTTTTGTTTCCTATTCTGACATCGGACTCGGACTTCTCTTAAACTGAGTTTTACTGTGCGTACTGTTGTACGTTTGTTTTTTTCTACATTGGCTAGAGGTATAGGGGGAGGGTTGAGATCTCAAAAAACATGTTTAACCCCGCCACATTTTGCGCCTGTCCCAAGTCAGGAGCCTCTTGCCTTTGTTAGTCTTGTATCATTTTTAATTTTAGTTTCTTGTGTATAAATTGGAGTTTAGTATGACGTCCATTATCACTGTACTAGTATACATATTTGTTTAGGGGCCAGCTGAAGGACAACTCTGGGTGCGGGAGTTTCTCGCTGCGTTATAGACCCATTGGTGGCCTTCGGCTGTTGTCTGCTCTATGGTCGGGTTGTTGTCTCTTTGACACATTCCCCATTTCCATTCTCAATTTTATTATTTTTGGCCCCCTTTTGGGCCCTAATTCCTAAACGTTTTGGGCAATTACTCCCAAACTCAATTCCAGCTTTCCCTTTGTGATATGGAACCTTGTAGTACAATTTCAGAAAGATCCATACACTTACACACAAGTTATTGTCCTGAAACTAGAAAAATGCCTGTTTTTTGCCCCTTTTTGGCCCCTTATTCCTAAAACTTTGAGGCCATTACCCCCAAAATCAATCCCAGCCTTTTCTTTAGTGGTATGGTACCTTGCAGTACTTTTTCAGAAAGATCCATACACTTGAACACTAGTTATTGTCTGGAAACTAGAAAAATGCTTATTTTTGGCCCCCTTTTGGCCCCTTATTCCTAAACGTTTTGGGCAATTACCCCTAAACTCAATTCCAGCTTTCCCTTTCTGATATGAAACCTTGTAGTACAATTTCAGAAAGATCCATACACTTACACACAAGTTATTGTCATGAAACTAGAAAAATGCTTGTTTTTTGCCCCTTTTTTGGCCCCTTATTCCTAATATTTTGAGGCAATTAGCCCCAAAATCAATCCTAGCATTCCTTTTGTGATATGAAACCTTGTGGTACAATGTCAGAGAGATCCATACACTAACACACAAGTTATGTCTGGAAGTTACAAAAATGCTTATTTTTGGCCCCTTTTTGGCCCCTAATTCCTTAACTGTTGGTACCATGACCCCCAAAATCAATCCCGACCTTCCTTTTGTGGTATTGAACCTTGTGGTAAAATTTCATAGAGATCCATTCACTTAAACTAAAGCTAGAGTGCGAAAACCAATGTGTCTTCAGACGACGACGACGAGGACGCCAACGTCATACCAATATACGACCACAAAATTTTTTAGCAGTCGTATAGAAATAAGAGAGATGAATGATGATGATGATGGATGGCTGTTTAACGTCAAGCGACATATTAAATGCATAAATATTCAGGACGAGAATATGTTAATGTAATATAAATATTAACCCTGCTTTGTACTAGACTGACACCCTGAGTCTGATTTTAAACCTGCAAGTTCACAAGGTAACAGTCCACCAGTCTTTGCTCTAATTATAACTCCTTAGTGCTTAATGTTTAGTGGAACATCATCAAATACCAATTTTAAAGTCTTAGGTTTGATCCGCTTTGGGTTTGAACCCAGGAACTCCCTCACACTAGGCGAACACGCTACCACAAGCAAATGACAAGACCAATAAGGTGGTTAAATAAGAGAATTGAAAATTACTGAAATAGAAGCATGTTTTATGTTAAACTTGGGAGACTATCTGTTGTCAAATTAATGGATAATTAAATTAAACACACCTTTCTAAATGTGAATTTTTTAAATCCAGTATAGAGGAATCAGATTATGGTAATTAATGGCCTAATCTACAAGACAAGCCCCAAGAGTGACTGGTGTATAGAAATATGGCCACTATAGGACTTCTTAAGACCGCCAGTATACCCTTACCAAAAAGATGCATTCATTTGGCTGTATGGGATGGATAAATACTCAGCCACTTCAGGTCAGAATGTGGACAATAAATCTGGTGACTGCTGTAAAGAAAGTGCAATGTTCTCTGCATGTCAAAATAAAATGCTCCAAAGGGCGCATCTTGAAATGATGTGATTAAATATTTGACATTGCATAGGTTTCTGACATAATGAATGTGGTCTTAGAACTTAAGGTGGTACCAAACACCTTGACTAAAATTTATTTGGCTCGTTTATTTTTCATAAAATTTAGACAAATAATTTACTTTGACCCTTTGAAAACATGACAAAAATATAAAAATTCAAAAAATTTGAACCACACTTTATTGGAAAAATTCCATTGGATATATAGCAGTTTGACAAACACTAATTTGGATCATTTAAAAGCTTAATATTTCCTTAACAATAGAATGTGATTAAAAGGTTCAGCTGATTTTTACAGAGTTATCTCCCTGTAGTATTATGTACCACCTTAACAAGAATGTGTCCATAGTACACGGATGCGCCACTCACACTATTGTTTTCTATGTTCAGTGGACCGTGAAATTGGGGTCAAAACTCTAATTTGGCATTAAAATTAGAAAGATCATATCCTAGGGAACATGTGTACTAAGTTTCAAGTTGATTGGACTTCAGCTTCATCAAAAACTACCTTGACCAAAAACTTTAACCTGAAGCGGGACAGACAGATGGACGCACAGAACAAAAACATAATGCCCCTATGTGGGGCATAAAAATTGGAAATTGGACATTTACCTATTATGGTCCAATATCCAACATGTCCAAAATCTAAATATATGGTTAGATTCAGCATATAAAAAAAAACAAGTATTCAATTTTTGATGAAATCAAACAAAGTTTAATTTTGGACCCTTTGGACCTTAATGTGGACCAATTTAAAAACCCGGCCCAAAATCAAAAATCTAAATACACTGTTAGATTCAGTATATCAAAGAAACCTCTGAATCTTAGTGCACAGTTAGATTCGGCATATCAAAGAACTCCAATAATGAAATTTTTGATGAAATCAAACAGAGTTTAATTTTGAACCCTTTTAGCATGTTTAGACCTCCATGACTTCAATGCGGACCCATTCAAAAACGGGCCCAAAATCCTACTAAATCTAATTACAGGATTAGATTCAGGATATCAAAGTTGACTTTGAATTAAACCCCATTGAAATTAGTCAAAAATTAAGCAATTTATATAGTGTATTAGAAAAGTAATGTTTTTGGCCCGTAAATCCTACATGATTAGGGCCATCCATAACCCCCAAAAATCAATCCCAACCTTCTTTTTTTTTGGTATGGAACTTGTGGTACAATGTAATAGAGAACCATAGGCTTAAACTCAAGTTATTGTCTGGAAACCAGAAAATCCTTGTTTTTGGCCCCTAATATACACATGATATAAGTCCCAAGTGGTTTGGGCCATATTCCCCAAAATCAATCCCAACCTTCCTTTTGTGGTATGGAACCTTGTGGTACAATTTTATAGAGATCCATTTACTTATACTCAAGTTATTGTCTGGAAACCAAATGTCTTCCGACAAAGACGACAAGGCAGACGACAATGCCATAGCATTATACCACTGCAAATTTTTGCCGGTTGTATAAAAACTCTTGCAACATCTATAAGCAGTCTGTAGGTGAAATGTTCCTACAAAACATTTCTGTCCCTATCCAGCATGCCCTCATTTTCCAACCAAATTTCCCATCCTTCATCCAGGGAGACCCCTGCCCTGCAGACTGCAGAACATATTTATTGTTCTCATCCTGAACATACATAAAATATGGTTGTCTCATTGGCAATCATACCAAATGTGTAACATCTATAAGAAATATTTGCAACTGGATGTACAGCAAACAGCAATCAATCCGCAAGATATAAAAAAAACAAGTAAAACTGTGAGCTACTGCTCACTGATGATACCCCCGCCCAAATATTTCGGTAAACAGGAAGTTGTTGAGTGATGAATCTGAAAACGCATCACACTGTATAGCTGACTTATATAAACCCTGAAACCAAATTTCAGAAATCCTTGTCAAGTAGTTCCTGAGAAAAATGAGACGAAAATTTTCAACTTGGCTATCATGTGTAAAATAATACAAGTGTTCTATGAACAGGAAGTTGTTGAGTGATGAATCTGAAAATGCATCACAAGGTGTAACTTACTTATACATGTTATATAAACCCTGAAACCAAATTTCAGAAATCCTTGTCAAGTAGTTCCTGAGAAAAATGCGACGAAAATATTCATGGGACGGACGGACTGACGGAAGGACAGACAGAGGTAAAACAGTATACCCCACTTTTTTAAAGCGGGGTATAAAAACAGATCAAATCATGCATTCGTCATGCTTTATTTGAACTGCATGCAGATGTATCACTACTAGGTTAAAATTATTCTTCAAAGTTTATTAAGACACATAAATGGATGCATATGTTATTTATTGTCATGTTATATAGACAAACACATATATATATAGAGGACATAGCACAATCATTACAATCTTTTTATACAATGTTCTGTGGATCCAATTTATTTTGTGGATACTAATTTTCGTGGATTGACGAAGAATTGTATTTTCTCTGACGTTTGTTTCCTGGATATGCTAAAGTCTGCATACAATGCAGAGAAAATTTGTACTTCAAAGAATATTTAAATTTGAAGTATTTCTTCACCCACAAAATCCACCAAAATTGCAATTGGTATACCATGAAAATGATGAATTACAATGAATTCACAGAATATAAATGATTTAATGGAATTCCAAACTAGTGAAAGCATTGTTTCAGAGTCCCTTTTCAAACTTGTATTGAGTTGTTATCCCACAAAAAATCTGTTTTTACAAAATGACATAGACACTATACGCCCTATAAACCTGACTGCAAAATTTTGGGTTAACTCTGCTTTGTACTATAGCTAGACCACATCTCTCAGCTGGATTTTTAACATGCTATTTCACAAGGTAACAGTCCACAGGAACACATGTCACCCTTACCAGTTACATTATTCTGACCTCAAGCTTACCCGTATTTGCTCTTTTAAATGCCACATGCTTAGTGTAGAAACAGCAATTCAAACTTACAAGCTGCAAATAGTCCTATTTCTCTTAATTTGCTTGTATGTTTTAGAATCTGAACTTTGAATCAATATAAAATTAAGGAACAATTAAAATACACATCAAACGGGGTATCAATCCCTTATTTAGACAAAAGATAGGTACACTCATATGTCATGCAACATGTGCAGTGTGACAAGTGTAATATTACATGTATTGATAGTAATCATTTTCTTGTTGCATAAATAGTTTTATTATTAGAAAAACATAAAAGCATAAAGTTGTTTGCATTTCATTTTGAAACTTACCATGGGAATTGACTTAGTTCAGGAACATGACATTTCAAATGGTACACTTTTGGACATTTGTCACAACACAGTAAGTCTCCCCCATTCTGACAAACAGCACACCAATCTTCATTTGGATCCTCTTCTTTGGTTTGTGGCATAGATTTTCCCGTAGAGGGAGGGTAAATAGGTGTCGGTGGGTTACTTGTTTGAGTGGTTCCTGCAGAAACTGGTGTTGAAGTTGGTTTTAACGAAGGGGGAGTAGGTAATCTTTTCTCCTGTGCTGATGAACTGAAGGCACAAGATGATCTTTCTTCCCTTTTAAATTTCTGATGATCACTAAAATTATAAAATGAAATAAATAACTCAAAAAGGCATAGGATTTTTTAGGTGAATTTTGTTTCTTCAATCTTGTAAATCTTTTGTTTAATTATCATGATTTAAGAGATAATTGTATTGTATTTGATGCTTGGCCAACGTAAAACATGGGTTTTACTGTTTCAAATTGAGTTTACCTTCCAACGTGTAGCGGAGCTGGTAAATGGATACTTGCGACAGTAAAAGTTACTAAAACCAAGTTTCATGTAGGCCAAACTTCAAATACAATACAGTTATCTCTATTCTAATGCAAAACAAACAAATCATTTCATTTCAATCATTATTTTGGTGTAAAATTTCATAAAACAAAAATTCTGTGAAATGATATTATTGTCTTTGGCAACTAAACAAGTTGACCTCACATAATATGCTTCCGGCATTAAATGTAAACACTGGCATTTTCAGTCTTCTTGTACGCCTCAGAATGTATTAGAGTTAGATGAAAAGAACATTTTTAGGAGATTTTTTTATTTATTATTCAAGAAATAACATGTCAAAACATTCCATAATTCAAAATGTTGGCTTCCTTTAATAATTAGCTACAGATGGGTAGTTAGAGGATTGAACGCTAGTTGTCATCCAATCAGAACCCTTGATACAAAGTGATTGCATGTGAATAGGAGATATTTAGCTTTCTAGATGAGTTGTTAATTTCTTTTGGTTTTGCTTCTGATTGACTCCCTTTACAATGTTTAGCTATGAACAAACACATTAGTTTTTTTAATTCATCATTAGCAACTCAACTTTTGTTTCTAAGCTTTCTTGATGATTAGTCAAGGAAATTCTTCTAATGTAACAATTTTAGTGCAAAATGACAGCACCCTTTAGTTATTACAGGCATATTTTTTCTGTAATAACATAGGTTTACTATGCATGATTGACAAACTATGAACTGTTATATTTTCCATAGTTTAGAATACATAAAGACAATAGTAATATTAATAGCACTTATAGACATTTTAACAAAACTAATGATGTATATTGTCCCTTTGAAACATGTAACATACATATGTTATCACAGTTCTTTGACTTTTTAGTCCTCAATAACAAATGTATGTTATTTTTCTCTAATAACCCTATAGACAGTCAGGGATATAACTCTATAGGGTTATTACAGAAAAATAACATACATTTGTTATTGTGGACTAAAAAATCAAAGAACTGTGATAACATATGTATGTTACATGTTTCAAAGGGACAATATACATCATTAGTTTAGTTAAAATGTATAAAAGTTCTATTGATATTACTTTTTTCTATATGTATACTTAACTATTGAAGGATATAACAGTTCATAGTTTGCCAATTTTGCATAGTTCACCTATATGTTATTACAGAAAAAATATGCCTGTAATAACTAAAGGGTGTTATCACAGCTTCTCTATATCACTTCAAAGCATTTGCTCAGACATACATCATGCTTTATTACAATGTATTTTAATTTATTGTAAGAAATAATGACCAGAGCATGTAATGAGGTTCTGCGCAAGTTTCTCAGTAATTCCCAAGTGTCTTATATAATAAGTTACATTCCTTTAATAACCTAGCCTTGTTATCACAGCTAAGTTTATCCCTTAATAGCCTTGTCTCATTGATTTACCATGGTTAATCAAAAATGAATTTATTTAATTAAAAAATTAGTTATCAAGCTTAAGGCTATGCATTTAGTTTCTGCGCAAAGTCTCAAGAGTTCCCTAGAGCCCACTATAAATGAAATAATTTAACAAATAACAAACATATGTTATTACAGATTTAGAAAATTTAAGGAATAAAGAGTAGACAACTCATGAAAGTGTCTGTAATAACACACGCAAGTTATTTTCTGTAATAACCCTATAGAGTTATATCTTTGACTGATAGAGTTATATCCTTGACTGATACAGTTTATGGCAAATAGGCATAAATACACAAGCTTTTGAGTGGTTTGAGAATTCAAAGTACCTTTGGACTGTTTGAGAGGCCCAGGCCTGTAGCTGGTCTATTGGTGCTGGCTGGCTTGCTGCTGCACCAGACTGATGGTCAAATCCTGCTCCTGCTGGACTTGGCGTCTTGTTGGCATAGGCTGCAGCCTGGGCACCTATATTATTAAACATGATAATATATGAGCTTTTATCATTTATTAATGACCGTGAAACATGTATATTAATGCACTACAAGCAAATGATGCTTGATGCTATTTTTGTGATAAAGGTTGCACCAATTAACACCAAATTGAAATAAAGAATACATAATGAGTGAATAACATGTATGTACTCTACATACATCATGTACATGTACAGAACATACAAATGGTTCTACTTTTCAGAGAAAGGTTGCACCAATTAGCACCAAATTGAATAAAAAAAATACTGGTACATGACATATTTTCATATACAAACTGCACTAATAAAGTACATGTAAAGTTGTGACATATGTATATAATATAAATGTGTGTGTGTGTGTATGCCATAGTATAATCATTTATGCGTAAGGAAAAAATTACTACAACTTGTAGCCGGTACGGCGAAAGTGAGAAAAGCAATCGAGTTGAGATGACCAAGGATAATCTGTTTATCGCTATTTTACCTATGAAGACGTTGTTAATTTCCTTGACAACGGCACGTGTTCCCTTAGTTTCTAGCGATAATTTTCATATCACTCGACTCCGCTGAGAACGCAAATTATCAGTCAGCAAGATCAAAGGAAAAATTCTTAAAATAGCGATAAATATGAATTACACGTAAAATGTACATGATGTAGTACTGTCATGACTGTAGAACCCCCATGAGATAAATTTGAAAATGTCAAACGGTAATTTTATTTCCAAACTGTATATGCTCCTCTAATGATGAATCTATACATGTACTTTAAATGTGCAGCATGATATGATTCTTATTTACATTGTATACCTATGAGAAGAATATTCAGATGTTATATATTTATGTCATAATGAGCCATGCTTTGTTCTTTGACCAACACCCTTATAACAGTCAGGGGACTTACTTAAACAAATGATTTCTAAATCACTGATGCAAGTAACATTTTGTCCACAAATGTTGGAAGTAAGAGTTGTCTTTTTTTAATAATCACCTATTTAAGTACATGTAGTACAAATAAATCACTAGACTAAGTGATTTAATTTTATTGTAGCTTTAAATATACAATACTAATGATCCAGGGACTAATTATGTTGCTAAAATTATCAGAACCAACATCTGTGTTAATAGGATGACCGGTCATGTCAGGTGATGACCCTTGTACTAAATCTGGGATAATGACATAAAAATCACTTCTTAAAGTATCATACCTCTATTTTCTTCCAAAAAATTACTTCTTTAAGTATTATTATTTTAATAACAGTGAAATTTTTATCGCAAACAGTAAAATTTTATTACATAATCTGTAAGATGAAACCTTGAACTTTACAGGAAAAATACTCCCACTGCTGGGAAAAATCTGTCAAGAAAGTATCAGTTCATTATGTAAAGCCTTCACTATAACATTTTTTCAACAAATATAGAATTTACAGTTAAATGATTGCATCAAAGGCATAAACCTTGCTACTTAAAAGAAGCGAAAGGTTCATTTTTTTCAATTTTACCAATAATAAGTTATAATCAAAACCTATATGATTAAAATTTTGGTAAAACTACAAAATCATAATTTGTGACAAAATTTCGAATTTGCTACTTAAATAAGTGATTTTATAAATCACTTATTTCAGTAATTCCCCTGACTGTATAAGCTGGATGATTAATGTACTGACTCACAATGTACATTTTTCCATTGCAACAGTCTGTAGGAGGCATGATTCTTAAGTAGTGCCAGCACTACACCCATGCAACCCATATTGTTTGATAGGACCTGGCACTTCTTTGGTGTTCCAGCAGTAAAAGCTTGGGAAGGTCATCATAAGATGCATGACTTTGGTATAAATAAATACAAGAGTGCACATGCTTAGATGTCTCCACTGTTTTACTGACCATTGATTTTATGTTTCAAAAGTCTTAAAGAGAAAGGTTTTACTAAAAGCATTACAGAAACTTAACATTTTTAAAAATCTATGACAATGAGGTCAAATGTGTCAGACAGACATATATATATATATACATCTTACAATTTTTTTATACACCAAATATAGTTGACCTATTGCATTCGCTAATTGAAACAGACCAAAACACAAAAACTTAATATTGAAATGAACCATAAATATGAGGTCAAGGTCAGAGGATACCTGCCAGACAGACATGTGCACCTTACAATTATTCCATACACCAAATATAGCTGACCTATTGCTATTAGTATTTGAAAAACAGACCAAAAAACAAAAACTTAACATTGACCAATGAACCATAAAAATGAGGCCAAGATCAGATGATACCTGCCAGTCAGACATGTACACCTTACAATCTTTCCATACACCAAATATAGTTGAGCTATTGCTTATAGTACTTGAAAAACAGACCAAAACACAAAAACTTAACACTGACCAACGAACCATGAAAATGAGGTCAAGGTCAGATGATACCTGCCAGACAGACATGTACACCTTACAATCTTTCCATACACCAAATATAGTAGACCTTTTGCTTATAGTATCTGAGAAACGGACCTAATCACATAACTTTAACCTTGATCACTGATCCACTAAATGAGGTCGAGGTCAGGTGAACTCTGTCTGACTGACATGTAGACGTTGCAAGGAACCTGTATACCAAATATAGTTATCGTATTACTCATAATAAGTGAGAAATTCACATGACAAAAAAACTCAAATCATTTTTTCAAGCAGTCGCTGAACCATGAAAATGAGGACAAGGACAATGGACATATGATTGACGGAAACTTCGTAACATAAAGTATCTGCATACAAGATATGAAGCATCCTGATAGTAATACCTATGTCTCGCATACTGCGACTTTTGTAGCAGGCGAGACAATAAACTACAGATTTTCTTTTTGAAACTGACAGGGAGAAGTGGTGGGACTTCAAAAATAATTACTTTTTTTATTCCTGGTGCTAAAATTAGTCTGTAATAGTGACACTTAATTGCTCAAATAACATTGAGTTTAGATTCCTTCAATTTGTTTAAAAACCTAAATTGCAGTGATTCAGATGCTTTTCATTCCATACATGCAAATCTAAAAATCAAGCAATCCAACAACCATGATGACACTGCAGGGTTTAATTTGTTTCAATTCAGTGTGATAACAGAACATTTATAAGTGATTTAGACTTACATGCATACATGTATATGACTTATGGATAAAATGACATAGGACATGAGCACCTCAAAATATTGTTGGTCAGGTAACCAGTCAGTGCTCAGACATAAACAAGTCTGCTTTTGTTCCGGACTTATAGAAGTGTTTACATTTTTGGACTTGACCTAGTCAGAAATTGACAGAGTCTATTTATGCTTTATAAAACAGGATGAAAACACATTTTTTTACTTTGTGGTCAAAGAACATCACCTATGACAATACAATCTTTTCTGAGAAATTACAAGGACCTGAGTTATCTACAAGTTATGATCTGATTGAACAGTTTTTCGTTATATCTACATTTTTTCCAATTTCAGTGGTTATAAATGGTTGCATCAGAAAGTGAATGGACATTTTTGTTCAGAAGACAATGCATTGCCTATCAATGTTGTCTCAATTTTATGCAGATGAGTGACCTTTTTATATTTGTGCATGGGTCTTGAAGTTACTTTTTGACTTTGAAAAAGTCATTAATTGCAACATTTTGACAAAGGTCAAATATTTTTTGCTTAACATATATTGATGTGTTGGAGTCTTTTTTTGTTTTAAAATAAAGGGAGAGATCCCATGAAACATGCAAATTTAGATCTCTACAAGGCAAAAGCAAAATTTGATTCATTTATGTCTGAGCTCTGACTGGTAACCGTGAACAGACTTACACATGTATATATTTTATTTCTATGGACTTATATCGAATATGGTCTATCTTTGATGAAATAACTTTTTTTTAAATTAAGGTATGCATAGTGTATTAATGAAGAATGGCAACATGTGGATGTCTGAACAACAATGAACATGGGATATAAATAGAATTCTTTCAATTAAAAACCTGTGCAAATCATTTCTATAAATTATCTGTCCATCTTAATAGTACATATTTGTATAGATTTACATTTAGAAACAACAGATGCATGCTCAATTACAAATTTATGTTTCCTGCTTGTAATTAATTTCCTAAAAAATGACTTTAAAATGAACAATAAAAGTTTTATATCATATACTATTCATGCTTATGTGTAGCTGTTGATTAAACAATTCTTAACATCAAAGTTGACTTTTATTTCAAAAACTTATTCTCACTTCAACTTTATCCTTTCATTTTAATTAATTCAACCATGAAGCTTTTTCATTTAAATTAACTTTTAGAATTGATGAAACTCTCCTGATAGGGCTGTCCCTGTATAAAAAATAGTTTATTTCTTTACCGTGCCATTTTTTCAGAAAACATCTTTTTTTCACGTTTCGCTTTTTGTACATGCAGAACTTTTACATGGCTAAATTTGATTGATGATCAACGTTAAAAAAAAGAAGGAATGAACCCAAAGATTATGAAAAAATGCAATTAAAAAAAACCTTTTTGATCCAATAATAAAAGATCATGTACACAAATGTAGGTGTAGGGTCAAACTAAATGGAGAAATTAAGGTTATAAAAGACAAAATTTTACAAACTACAACAAAGGTTTGCATGCAGGATAAAACTGAGTGGATGTTATGGTTGATATGAAACAAGAGACGAGTGATGGGAAAAAATCCAGTGTCGTATTTACCTGGCGAGGTTTCAGCTGAGGCCATGCGACAATTACTCCATGATTTTTCTCTGTTTACAACTGGATTGGGCATATTAGAATTCCCATTCTGAGCCCCTCCCACCAATGTAATGTTATTATAATGTTGGAATGTATTCTGTGGATTAGGTCTCATACCTGGTACAGCTGGAGCAATGTTGCGATAATGAGGTGGCTGTGGAGAATGCCTCTGATGTGAAAGGGCAGCTAAATGTCCAGCAGCAGTCATAGCAAGCTGACTATTCTGTTGAGGTAGTGATCTGTTTGGAACCACATGCTGATTTGGACGGTTCATAACATGGTTATTTAACTGGTTTTGGATGATAGAAGTATTCTGATTTCTGTTCATCTGTGCTTGCTGAGCTTGCTGTTGTGCTTTTATCTGAGCTTGCTGTTGTTGCATGCGAAACTTTTCACGCAATTTTGCCTCATAAATTGACTGCTGTTCAGGCGGTAAATGACGAATTTTTTCTCTTATCTGTGCATTAAATGCAGCTTGCGATATATGTGTTGAGGGAAATCGCTGTGGTCGGTTTTGTTGTTGCTGTGGAATAACTGGATGATTTCCCTGAGATTGAGGAGCAGCAACAGTAACTGTTTTCTGGGGGAACCAGCCACCATCAATTTGTAGAAAACCTAATTTCTGTTGGTTCTTTATTAAAATGTCTATTTCATTTTCATAAACAATGCTATAATTAAGAAAGCTAGGCTGAAAAGGAATGCCACTTTCTGAAAGTTGCTTCAAGTTTTTAACCATTAATCCTTTTGTATACAAAATTGACACATCATCCCCAATTGTTAAAGCATTTTCAACAAAGTCTACAGAATGCTGCATTTTTAAAAGTGCTTCAGCAACAAGCCGTTGCTTCTCAGCAATTATAGTAGTCTTGTTACTAACATATTGTTCTAAATGGTTAATTAAACTTTCAGAATATTTCTTAAACTTTTCTATGACAGTATCACGAGCTTTAACTATTTTTTCTGATTCTTCTGTCATTCTTTTTCTTAACTCGTGATGCTTACCTTTCAAAATTTCATTAGCTTGTTTATAATTTCCTAACTTAGTCTTTAAGTTGACAACAGCGTTTTGTAAGTTCTCACGTTGATGCGTAATGGCTTCTTGTAAAAATTGATATTTATGGTCTTTATGTTCAAGTAACTGACAATCTCGACAGGTCAGTTTTTCACATGTTTCACAAAATAGTTTGAGTTGTTCATGTTTATGTGTTTGACAATTGATCATTTTTTGTGTGGAATTATCGGGTGAATCATCATCCTTTTTACCTTCATCTTTCGGAACTATGGTGTGGTCTTTAGTTATTCTGACTCGTTTATGAGCAAAAACACACTCATTACACAAATATTCTTGACATTCATTACAAAACGATGTAGCTTTTACATTCTGACTTTCTTCACATCCTGTACAAATAGGTCCTTCGTCATCCTTTTCTTCTTCATCTTCTTCTTCAATTACAGCAGGTGCTTCAATAGACAGAAATCTGTTATCCACGACAGCTGACTTTTCTACAGTACAGTTACAAGCTGGACACAATATTGTGCTTGGCTTTGGTTCTAAAAAATAAAAATTTACAGAAAAACTGAATGAATAATAAATATTGTGCTTAATGGAGTTTGTACCTTTGTCAATAAATAATGTGTCTTTCAATGGTTGTCTATCATTTGTAACTCACATTTAAGAACCCCAAAAATCTGCATCCCAATATTTTGTATGTTTCCAATTAATGTATTTTGTCTACATTATCAACTCTGATGGTTTTACTTGAATGGCAGACACATGTAGTCTTTTGAAACAGCAAATTAAAAGTATTAAGTCTCTTTTGTTTGAATTGAGTTCATTGGGTTGCTACATGTATGTACATTTATAGACATGTTTAACCAAATTTCCTGACAATTTTACTGTATTTCCAGCTTTTGATGTTTGATATATATGACTATTATTTCTTGACAATCATAGCAACTCCTTCATGACCTTCAGTTGACCTTTCATATCAATTTTATTTTTTCAAATTTAGCTAAGTTCTGTACTACATTGAAGTATAAGTTTAATCAATGTCATAAAATCCTTAAAGCATAATTATCAAAATGAGTTTGAGATAAGAAAGGATAACCCTTTGACTCATCATAATGTTATGATAAATGTAGGACAGAAAGTCACAGGACAAAAAGTCACAGACAATAAGTCGCGGACAATTGCAAAAAGTCAAAATTCAGTTTTTGAGATTATTTTCTTTCAAAAAGAAAACACTTATTTTTAAAAAACATTTTTGTATTTTTCTTGAACTATTGTCATGATTGTATATATATAAACCAACTTTGTAAACAAAATTTCAATAATGGTCAAATAATTGTTAAGATAACAAAATGTCAAAGTGGCTTGGTACATGTACTTAAACAGCGTCATGGTGCCAAGAAATATATCCTTTGCATGATTAAAATTTAATAAATCTTCATTTATCAAGTCTAATGAATAATTTCCTAAACTGTAAAAAGAATATATATATGTAACATGTGTAATAAAAAGTAAATATTTCAAAATCTTTCTCTTATATATATATATTCAAACAATTGTCAACAAATTATTTGTGACTTTTTGTCCTGTGACTTTTTGTCCTATCAAATTTGTGACTTTCTGTTCTGTAACTTTTTGTTCTGTGACTTTTTGTCCTGTGACTTTCTGTCCGCTTGCCTGTTAATATATATAGATTAAGAAAGGCTACAAAGTCTTTTGACAATTTATTGAATAGACCAATGCATTGAAATTCTCTTTAAGGTAGATGTATACATGTATGGATATCCCATTTTGACACTAAATGTTTACAAACTTAAAGAGCTCGAGGGAATAAAGAATCCTCAACCGCCTTCTTGTCTTAACTGATCAGATGCTAAAAGACTTTTATTCAATGACATGCAGACTGTGTTTTAACTTTTATTATGTGTATAAATCAATGACATTTTTATAACCTGTAATGGTTTACCTAGTCCTGTTTCTCTCACTTTTAATTACCCTAATTATCAAACAGTTAATTAAATAAACAAAAAAAGACAATGGGCTTACTGACCATAAGATAATATCATGAATATAGTCTGTTCAAAATATATTTCAACATATAGGTGTATCAATGAATAAAATTTATGCAATCTACATGGGAAAAGTAAATGTTTATTTGTGGTTTTTATTGGTTGAAAGAAAATTTATTTTATTGTGTTTTATATAATATAAAAAGTTAACTAATTTCTTATTTAATCCTTCTTTTTTTCATGGTATTAGGCAATTTTATGTGTTTTTTTTTTATACTTTATGTATTTTTTTTACACTTCTTGTTATTTGTTTGAATAACAACAAGGCTAACAAAATATATATGATATTTTTTTAATTTAAGTCATATATACATTTTGTACATGTATTCACTTAAACTCATAACATATACATTGTATTGACATAATTCAAATTACAGCACATCATCATTGACAGTAAGCATTATAATGAAATAAATTACCTTTAACTGAAACATACATTGTTATACATTGTACTACAAAACATCATCTTTCAATATAACAGTAAGCATAAAAATTTAGTACAAAATCAGTTTAAATGAAGAAGGTAGACAGCTTCATCTCAGTAGCTGATAACATCTATCTGGCTTTGCTGGTATCTGTCTTTGAGTAGCTGTAGTCTTGTGTTGAGAACTCTGTACTTGCGTCTGGTTGTTTGAAGGGCACCTCCTGCAGCATACTCATACTGGATTATAGTGCATTATGTGAAGGCCTGGGTCTTTTGTAGGACTTCGATTAAGTTGTACAGGTTTGGGTGGGGGTGCTGCACTTTTTTTCTTTATTTTGTTGTGCCATCCTTCTGGATGGATGGTCGTACTGGGTCATTCAGTCTGTAAGTGGTTCCATAACAATCTGTGGCCTTTAACCCAATACTCTGTCATGTAATCTGTAAAAACTGTTGTGTCTGGAAAGTGGTCAGCTTCACCAATGTCCTCCAATGCGTTGAGCCAAACATCTTCAACCTGTTGCTGTGGGATGAGTGGTAGGACTGCTGCTCTTCTAACTAGTTGAATAATGTTGTCATTCGCCTTACAGAAGGTTTGAAGTCTGCATTTCTGATCCTTTCTCCAAATACATTGTATGAAGTGGAAGAATCAACCTTTAACTTTTACCCCTGGGAAGACTGTACATGCTGCGCTCTAAGTGGCTGTCTCGTAATCGATAAAAACTGTGTCAGGTTGGAATTGAAGTTGGTATAAAATTATGATACAATTTCAATTGCATTGGCTAACCTATCATTTACGAATTTAAAAGTCGAGTTTCTTATTGGCAGCTTTTTACAATTATCTATAAATGTATTGGCTTGGGTGCAGATTTAAACTCACAACATGTCACTTATTATTTTTAATTAATCTTAAATCTTAATTTTTTGTTAATTTTTTTTTTGTATTATTCAACAAGAAAATAAATATAACAGAATCCCTATGTTTTTATTGAACATTCCACAAATGTATTTTAAGCACATGTATTTTTAAAATTAACTTCTATTTTTTTCTAAAAAAAATCATTTTTAATATTATAACCATGATAACATAAAGCTGGGACATAATATATTAGTATAATAGCCCCACCATAAAGACATAAAGCAATTTTTTAAAGTTTACAAGTGAATTACAACACAAGAACAATTTAGAAACCAACTTTAATTACTAAAACAACATATACCCAAATGTTTATATAGGCATATGTAATTACAAGTGGGAGAAACAGGATGTCACCCCTGTAATTAAGGAGATTATATATAAACAAAAGATAAATCCGTACAGGTAATAAATGGGGTTTGTGTCCATAGGACACTGATGATGCCCCCTCTTGCATATAATGTTATAAAGGGACATAACTCAAGAACAGTAAAAGTGACACTACCCAAATTCATACTTGATCTGATTTTTGTGGTAATAAGCATTGTGTATAAGTTTCATAACATTTGGTTGAGGCAAACTTAAGTTATACAATGGAAACGAAAAATTCAGCAATTTTTCCATTTGGTCCGGGTACACAGTTATCGTCCTTTGATTTTCGTTGTCCACGAATATAGTCCCTAGTGTGAACAGTGTGTTACTTGTCGATTTTTTTTATACCCCTTCCGAATTTATTTCTCCATGTTTTATGACTCAAATAGTAAGTACGGGGGTGAAATGACACTGTAAAAAAATTTGGGTCATGAATTTTAAAGTAAAGTAGTGATTTGGTCCAGCTGAAAAATGTTAAAAATTAGCACTTCGGAAGCTGTCAAAAGATTTGAAGACCCCCTTAGCATGAAATTGTCCATATTTTGAGTTAGAGCCGATGAAGTTTTCTATAATTTTGATATAATTTGTCCCAAAAGTAGTACAACACACTGTAAAAATATTATTGAGAAAGTGCAGGTGGGATTTTTTTTATTTTCATTTATTGTCTAAAAGAAATGCACTACGAAATAACTGTGTACTCAGACCATTTGTAAAGGTGCACAACTCTAGAACGGTAAAATTGACGCCACCAAAATTCAAACTTGACCTGTTTTTTTGTGCTTATAAGCATTGTGTATAAGTTTCATAACAGTTGGTTGAGGCAAACTAAAGTGAGAGAACAGAAACGAAAAGTCAGCAACTTTTCCATTTGTAAAGGGGCATAACTCAAGAAAGGTAAAAGTGACGCCACCCAAATTCAACCTTGATCTGTGTTTTGTGGTAATAAGCATTGTGTATAAGTTTCATAACATTTGGCTGAGGCAAACTAAAGTTACAGAATGGAAACCAATTTTGGGACGTACATACAGACAAGGGTAAAACTTAATGCCCCCTCAGCTACGGCAGGAGCATTATTAAGTTTAAATTCCCATCTATCATGTCTATTAAATTAGTTGGGCAAACTATTTCACCTTTTTTATTCTATTTTTCAGATAAAAAACATTGAAATTAATGAACTGTATGTTACAGTGAGTGAATTTGTAAAATCAAGGGTTTTGACATGATTAGTAACTTTGTAAAATTGATAACAGTTTAAGTGATTTTGTAAAATCCCTGAAATTGTTATGGATTTTATTAAATCACTGAAAATATTGCAAAAGTCCCTAATTACAAGTAAAACTTCTTAATCATGTTAACAGAAATGTGTTTTCTGTAAATAAATCAGCCTGTCCTCGGAATTGAATGTTTTGCTTATTCATGTTATTATAGACCAAATGACACAGGGTTTTCAATAAGCAGCGGCACCCGGCAAATTTTCCCTGTTTCATATTAAGGAATTCTATGGTTCAAATTGTGTTTCCAAATAAAAATAAAATAAATAAAACTGTGCTATCGTTGCGTAAAACAAGTTGTTACCGATTGAAATTGACTTTTGTCTTCGCTTGCGCTTTGTTTAGGTGTTCTCGTCGAGGTCCGCATTATAATATATTTATAGATTCTCCACAACGTTAAGAAGATGGATAAGGAACAAGACATCATAAATGATTTTTAATGCGATCATTTGTGTGCTTCATAAAAGGATAATTCTACATCTTAGTAAAGCAC